GAGGATCTCCTGTCCACCGCTGAGCAGCTGCTCAACCACACAGTGATGTAGGGCACCACCACGCTCTCAGCAGAGCAGCGGTAAAAGGACACAAGCAGATCTCCTGCAAGTGGTTTTAGAGATCCTCAGGAAGTGGAGTCAGTGCCTTCCTCACTGCTGCTGTGGTTTGCTGTCCAGGAGAGATGAAACAGGGCTCAGACGAGAAACAGAGGTTCACAAGACAAGGAGCTCCACAGTATCCTGAAACACTTTTATCTCTGTCCACAAAAACTCAGATGGAAGGAAGCGTGGAGGAGACCTTCTGTTTGTGTTGTTTTTGCTGCTACAGCACCGCTGGAGCCACACAGCTTCATAGACGCTGCTGCTCCTCATTAAGCTGGAATCAGAAATGTTTCAGCTCTTCTCATGGAATGATTGTCACAGTGTGATTTAGTCTGGGTAAAGTTTATGCCTTCTCAAAACTTTATTGATATCACAATACACAGACGGTACATATCACAGTGAAACATTAAAGCAGTGAACTTTTACAAACTGTGTGTTTAGGCTTCAACTAAACTGGAGGGACTGACCAACAGGATGAAGGGTTGTGTTTGAATTATTCAACCTTAGTCATGTAACAGGAAACACACATTGGAGGGGACTCCATGCACCACAGTGTCCAGTATTACTGTCACTCATTAAATTAATACAAATAACTGTATAAAGCCATTAACAATATGCTGAGTCATACTTGGCTCCAGTCACTATAAAATGCACACTCAGTTTTATAAGACACTAGTGGCGACCCTCCACCTGTCCACCAGGTGTCCCTGTGTTCCTGTGGCTGAGCAGAGGCTCGCTGGTCGGCTGAGCCTCACCTGGAGCCAGTAGATCAGCCGGATAAGGCCTCCATCGTTCCCTCAGTCAGCCTCTGGCTGGCTCTCTGACAGGTTCTGACAGGTTCTGACAGGTTCTGCCCGTCTCCAGGAACACCAGCAGCAGGGTTTTTATGCAGCATTTGTTTGATTGGTTGTTAAAAGTAAATCTTTGTGGTCACCACACAGCTGTCGTCTCCTGGTTTTTGTGAGTTGCTGATGACGTTCTGGTGTTTACAGCTCGTCCTTTAACCACCTTAATGCACCTGGGCTCATTGAAAAGCTCAGTTCTGGTCACAGCCGTGTTTACTGTGGTTGCATTGTTTCCATACAGGCCTTGTTCTTGTTCACAACAGGAAACATTGAAGTGTTCAGCTCAGAAATAATCCAGTTATTGAGAGGTTGAGAGACCTTCAGTGTGTCTTCTGACTGCTGTCTCATAGAGGTGATCATGGAGATGATGGTCTGAGGAGGACATGTTCCAGCTCAGTGTGGACACACACTCTGAGACATTCATGCTCTGTTTGAGTCTTCAGTTTATAGAAACACAATAAATGTTTGTTTTCTAATTGATGTCCAGATGTTTCTGTAGTTGTATGAGTACTGCTCCTGCTGATACCAGAACACTGGCAGGAGTAGCCACACAGCCACCTTTTCTTGTACGAGTATAGACTTAGACTTTATTGTCCCCAGGGGGAAATTATTTTATACAAACCAGCCCTTTACTTCCATCTCACAACATGACAATACAGACTACACAGAATCACACATAAGGGTACGCAGACAGAATAACAAACACAAAGTACAACATGAAATAGTATGAAAGACATGACAATGTAGTACAGGGATGCTCAGCGGGGAATTCTGTTTAAGGCAACTGTGACTGCAGGCATCAAGCGAGTATGCATTTCTTACTCAGGTATAAAAGCATTTGGCCATCTGAGACTAAGAACTGGACTACACATGAGCTGAGAACATTCATCCCAACAGTTTACTGTTCTGTGTTTAGACACCACAGCGGTGCCATGTGCAGCCCCTTCAGGAAAACACTCACCATCCTTCTTCTCAGCAGGGACAGTCTAGTTTTCCTTCCACAAATCAAACCTTTAATTTCATGAATGGTATTTATTCTGATGCAGAAAATACACAAGCATGTGGAGACAGAGAGAGGCAAACACAAGAAGCTCAACGTGGCTGTGTGATGGAGATACAAGACCTTCATGAGCACGTCATAGACAGAAAGCGTCCTGACTGCTGCCTACACGTTGATCCATGTTTAATCAGAACCCCACGTCAGAGAGAACCCACTGGTATCACCACACTCACACGGTTCTGGTCTCCAGCATGTCGTCAGCGCTCTGAGACCAGCAGCTGCAGCAGTCTGGCCACCACCACCACGTTGAGGCTGTTTCCCAACACTCGGTACCGCTGGATGGTAGGGATCTGCTCTGGAAAGGCTGCATCAAAACACAACCAGGTAAATAACCAACACGAGCAAACAATGTGTCATTATTCAGTCGTATGAAATGGCCCCATAGGACACACAGCTAAAGAACAAACAGAAACCACCACAAGCACATCAACGGCGTATTCAGTTTACAGCCATTCCCTCCAGAAGTCGACCACATCAATCAGGGTCATGATTTTTGCTTGTTGTTACGTTGGCTGACATTTCATTCTGCAGTGAATCCATACAGTGCTGCCTCTGTGTCTGTAGGGAGTCTGGTGAGACCTAGAACACCATAAAGTGGACTCTGAAAAACCTTCAAACTTCAGTGGAGTCTAGTCACTGGGTCGGTTTCATAAACAGCACTAATCAGATCTCTACAGGTTAATGAGATACATCACGCAGCAAACACCTTTAGGGTATGACACAGCGGCAGGTCTGGACCTCCTGCTGTCACCAGATCACAGCAGTAACATCAGGAGCAGGGATTTCATCTCTAGCCACAGCCGGCCTGGCTGAAGGTCACTGAGTGTTGTTGACAGCAGCATGAAGGGTTGGAGGAGGAAAGAGCGCTGCTGTCTCCTCAGAGAGGGCCAAAAGATCAAGAGGCCTCGACACAAACCACGATAAAGCTAGAAGGAAGGATGTCTTTGACTCACAGAAACTTTGAGGAAAGCCCATGAGGTTGGCCACTTCTCTGGGAGTGAAGTATCGGAGCTTTAGTTTCACCAGCCGCTGGAGTTTCTCCTCTTCAGACAGCTGGTCCAGACCCGTAAACACACTCTCAATCTGCAGAGCACACAAAGCCCAGCCGTCAGCACCCGGTACACAGTGTCAGCTCACAGTTCAGTTTGAAATAACAGGTGTAGCGTCCTCTCAAGCACTTCAGGATGAGGTTTCTGCTGACCCAGCTCTGACCCAGGAGCTGCAGGTGAGCTGCTGCTGTTCTAGACATCTCTAAAGTGTGGAACTGACTTCAGTGTTGTAAATAAGTGTCTGTATTTATTGACCAATGTGTGTAAACACAGATGCCGTGCACCAGAAACAGCAGAGATCAGGATCCGTGGACATGACTTCATTCTGTTCCTGGTGACGTGCCATCATTATTTAGGTGGAGGCTTTCAATAAGCCACCCAGGCCTTCTGCCTCCTCCCGCTCCTATCTGGTAGCTGGTCTCTTTGGGTTTCTAAAAGGTCCAAATCAATCAATCAATCAGTACTTAATTGGAGCACAGCTCAGTGATCAGCAGGCCCGACCCAGCCAATGGCAGCTCATGACACTGAACAGAACAGGCCAGTTAGCGACAGATGTGCTGCGACAGGGTTAACCTGAACCCTAACCCAAACCCGAACCCTAACCTGACCCGCTCGACATTTGACCCGAGCCGTGATGCAACAAAAGGCTTGTATAGATACGCACACAAACGTGTGTTTGCTTGATAAACATGAGCCGCTGAGCCATGTTTGATGGCTGAAAACACACAGACTGCTGCTGCAACGTTTCCATCAGACAGCGTATCTGCAACAGAACTGAGCAGGGTCAGAGCTGGGTCAGAACCGGGTCAGAACCAGGACTGAGTTGGGTCAGAACCCGGTCAGAGCCAGGTCAGAGCCGGGTCATGGCCCAGCAGCTGGGATCTGTACCCAACTACAAATGAACACCACTCAGCACATAGGCTGTCGCTGGCAGCAGCAGCTGATACCTGGACCAAACCAAAGCCTACCTTCGTTTCCGTGCAGCTCTGCAGCACCGAGCCAGTTCCCTCCACATAGCGCCGATAGCTACGGATGAAACACACAGAGGATGGTGAGTGTTACAGTGATCAAGCTGCTGTGTACCGATATGAGGAGGCACATATACTAAAGGTTTCAGGGCGATCACATGTATGAATATCTCAACAGATGCAGATTGTAAAGCAGATTGATGAAAAATCCTAAACACTGAATGACAGCTGAGTCCTCGTGTCCTGCCAGACGTGTGTCCACAGCTTTGTGACAGACCAGGACCACGCTGTATGTTGCCAGAAGTGGACATCAAGAAGATCAGAAAGTCCACTGCATGGATCACATGTCATTAACAGAGTCAAACGAACTGCTCTAATGAATGCTGTACCGCCGTTCATGGGGAGAGGCCTAACCCTTACTATGCCAGATAATCGTGTAGAACTGGAGAGCTGGGAGGCTGTTAGCACTGATGAACTGTCCTCTGCAGCAGAGAACACCTTGGTCTTGGCTTCCTGGGACATTCCCTGTCCACGCCAGTTTCATCACAGCGTCTGAACAGTTTTGAGACTGCACCTGAAAAATGTATTAAAGTTCTTGAAACTTTCCAGACTCAATAACTTTCATGCCTGAAAGTAATGATGGACTATAATTTCTCTTTTCTTAGTGAATAGTTCTGGCCATAACGCAAATTCCAACAGTAATGGAACGTATCTAAACGATGCTGGCCCAACACACAGAACGGATGAAGGAACACAGTCACCAAACAGCCGTTCACAGGGCACACGTGTTACCTGAAAGCCATCACAGGTGACAGCATGACCAGCTGTCATTAGGCCAAACAGTCTCAAACAATCTAGAAGTATTATGCTGTGTTCAACGACATAGAGAAAGTACATGTAAATTAATTTTGAATGCTAGTATTTGAGCAAAAGAGGCTGAATTATTGCAGTGATAAAGCAACCACTGGACATGGTGCAAATGAGACCAAGACGCTACAAACCCACCCTTTAGTGAAGCAGACGGACCTCCTGCATGTGGGCTGAACGATGTCCAAGAGGAGCCCATAGCGCAGCAGTGTTTTAGGAGGAAGCAGGTGGAGCTCCAGGTTGACCTCCATCTGTGGTTCCAGGAAGTCTTGGATCTCCCTGACAGACAGATCCCGGTTCTGATTAACCTTCCTCTGTGCATCCATCTGGGTCTCTAGTTTATAGAGGATTCCTCCCCTTTGCACCTCCTCCTCTGGTTGGCCGCTACGTTGGCAGACAGGACTCAAGACTCTGGGCTGCTCGGCAGGCTCACTCTTGGCAGGAAGTGGAAGGACATCTAACATCTGAAGGTGAAACACTTTGTACATTAGGATCCCACATTACTAGGTATGTGTTTATGTGTTTCCACACAGTGTGGTTGTGTATTAGGATGAAACAATCCAAAGGAGGAACCCTGCTCAGTATGTACAGTTGTGAACAAAGGTCACAGACACTTGGGACAACTTGCTTGATGGATTTTGGACCTGAGGGAGAGGACGCTGGAGCTGGCTGTTCGCTGCTTCTCCAGTCCACTTTGTGGTGTAACTTACTATGTCTTGGTCATTTCCTGCTTGACCACCAGATATTCTCTCGCATTGCCAAACCCTAGACACTCGACAACTTTTTAGACTGATTTTTAACAGATTTTTGGCAGCCTGAGTGGTGCTCTCATGTACCTGCAACCGTCCATTCTTGATGTTGACGACGCTGCCCAACAACCTCGGCCGTCTACCAACTGTCCTTCAATCCTTTCTTCCAGTGTCACCCCCTTCTGCCATGCTCTTGATCTTCCCTTTCTGCTCAACTCTACACCTCTGGTCATCTTGTTCGCAGCTAGTGGCTAGCACCAGGCTAACATATTCCACCACACAGCTGGTGAAAAACAACAGCTGCTCCATCCCAGAGTGTACTGAGAACATCAAGCTACTTGGACTCCTACGCAGACCACGATACATCCACAGAAGATCCCGTCGCAAGTTTGTTCACCTACAGCACAGGTGCCAAAACTCCATCCCGTCCACGTGGTCTGCCGGTCCCACCTCCAACACATCTTCAGAGCGCTGCCACTGTTGGAGCTGCTGTAGCTGGGAGCATCACAAGTCCACTTCCTGCTCAGTGGGACGGAGAACATGGGTTCCAGTCTGCTCAGACCTCTAAACAGATCCAGCATCTGACACATCAATATGGAACTTCTGATGCACAACCACTGATGAATAAACCTCCTCTCGACCTGGAATACAAGCTAACCACAGGCCCATCTCCAACTTTAATTTGCACACCTGTGCTTGGTCCATTCCCTTCATCTTATACACACTCCCCCTTGGTTGCGTCATTGGCCAGTATGGAATGTTATTCCATTGCTACGCCGATGACACCCAGTTGTACCTCAGGACTGACTCAACCTCTTCAACTGCTCTGTCGTCATCATCATCACCACTCTCAACACTCACCACCTGCCTGGAGGAGATAAAGGCGTGGATGAGTCGTAATTTCCTTCAAACAAACTGTTGTACAACCGAAGCCAAACTTATTGGCACCCCGCACCAGGTCCAGTTATCCTCCATAACCACCATCACCTTTTCCAGACAAGATATCTCCCTCTCATCTGCTGAGAGGAGTTAGATCTGTTGGGAGTGCTCCTCAGGTCCTTCTTTGACTCTGTGAAGGCATCAGCCATCTTCTATGCAGTGATATGATGGGCAGCAGCTATACCGTAGCAGACCAGGAAGAGACTCAACAAACTGATGAAGAAGGCCAGCTCGGTCCTGGGATGTCCCCTGGATCTAGTGGAGGTGGTGGGAGACAGGAGGATGATGGCTAAGCTATCGTCTGTGTTGTAGAACATGTTCCACCCTCTGCAGGAGACTCTGACAACACTGGGCAGCTGCTGCAGTGACAGGCTGCTTCACCCGCGGTGCATCACACAGATACTGCCGGGCTTCCTTGCTTCCTTCCTTCCTTCCTTCCTGCAGACTTTACAGCCAGCACTGCTCCCAGTAGACCGCACACTGACCAACTGTTCCACTGCTCTTGGTACAATACCAACACATTCTGTGAATCACAAATATTTTGCAATCTCTACTTTTCTACATATACTAGAACATGTGCCACATCGGTATATTTCTACTGACGTACAATCTGTGCGATACAGATAATAACCTGTGTAATAAGAATACTTATCTTCTGTGCAATACTGTTATTTCTATAACTACTACTTATATAAGTGTGTGTATGTATTGCCATTTGTTGCACTACATTCCTTAAACGTTTGCACCATCTTTGCTGCAGTAACACTGTGAATGTCCCCACAGTGGGATTAATAAAGGCTTGTTTTAATCTTACATTCAACAACCACTACTAATCGTGGTGCACAGGCTGGCACTGGAAACTAGCACAGTTCAGGCCTACAGTCAGGAAGGCTCACCTTTAAACCCGTCTGGGTGCTCAACTGTCCTGCTGACTTCTCAGCAATCAGGAAATAACGCAGCCTTGAATTTGGGATGCCGACCTGGAAAATGAAAGCAACAGCAATATGAATAGTTTCCACCTTCATATTCAGTCGTCTCAGATGATCATCTAGGTAGATGATCTGCAGCAGGTGGTTCTTACACTTGTGGGTGAGACCATGATCTCCTGAAAGTTGTATCCACATTCCATCAGCGTTTTCACCAAGCGTTCCCTAGAGAACCAAAGCATAACATTATTTTAGGTCTCCCTTTCCTTCCCTCAGCACAGTATTACCTCCAGAACTTTGTTCTGCTTGGATTGGGCCCATCGGTTATGAAAGCTCAACCAAATGTATATATTTTTACAAAGCATTTCATAATAAACAACATTCTATGCAGTTTGGTTTGTACATGCAGCTGCATGGGGTTCATCACAAGTTTTGAGTTCACTTTTTATTTCAATGTGTGCCTAAAGAGAGGACTTCTGATGACAGCATCCAATGTTTTCTTGATTACAACTTAGCCATAACCAGAGACTATCTGAACTTGAAGCTAAATAGTTTTTCAGGCCCTACTCTGGCAAAAACAAATAAAAAACACAGAAAGCAGAGCTAGTAAAGCCCCGGTGCATGTTGGTAGATGCGCTTTTCATACTTTTCAGTTCTAGGAATGGACATGCTGAGACATTGTGGAATAATAAAACTTGATGTTGAAGTGTCAGCGGAGCACTCACCAAACGCTCTACTGATCACCACCAACAGTGCTGATGTCTTCTGCAGATTTCTCATATGACACTTAACTGGTCCAGTCATCAAACTAATACTTAAATGTATTTAATATTAGACAGAGACACCCCACAAAACCCCAGAAGAGCTTCTTATGGTTTACTGAAGGACTCTTTGTATTCCCAGCATTACCTTGCGGAGGACGTCTCGAAGCCTTTCACATTTTCCAGCAGGATGAAGCGGGGCAGCCTGCACAGCCTGGACACAGAGAAACAGAGTTTGTTGAGAGAAAACATCAAGTCGTGGCTTACAACGGACACACCATAAGCCGCATCATGAAGCTGTGCTTGGACTATAAATGTCCTACCCTGTCCACTGAGCACTCAGCTACCACCATCAATGAAAGCTTGCTGCAACACAAAGTTGCGTAACGTCTGAGGAGATGATGGGTGTTTAAACAGGGTGGTCAGACACAGAGATGGATACCATGGTAGTGGCAGCCTCAGGGTCTGTGGCTGTGTTGGTAATAAAGGAGGAGGATTACCTCCACTCATCAGGAAAACCTACAAACCAACAGCCAGAAGGTTGGGTTCTGGAGGCAGTTGGGTTTTCAAACAAGACAATGATCCAAAACACAGTGGTGGTCCATCAGGACCAGCAAGGCCTTCTCTGCCGGCCTGAACTCATCAGAACCACTGACCTACGTTGTCTTATGTTCCCATTAATCTTTGAACTTTATTCCCACCAGTCTGTTCTCTTCATTCACAGTGTCTCTGGGCTGTGCTGCTTCCAGCAGCGTGTTTGTATCAGAGCTCTTATCCAATCATCAGGACACCCCCATCCATGGCCTGGCAGGTCCTGGCTATGTTTGTGGTACTAGTCCAGAGGTGGTCAACCCGCGGCTCTGGGGCCTCATGTGGCCCTTTCATCGGTCTGCTGCGGCTCCTTGTGGCTTTGGTAAATAAATAATGACTATTTTATTTAAATGTATTTTATTTTAGTTTGTTTGTTTTTTAAATGTAATTATAAATCTGAAGATTTTTGTGAACTTGTAACATTAAAATAAAGCGCATTTAATATTTTGTCGCTCAAAATATGCGTCACACTGTCGATGTGCGACCCCCACCGGCACAGTGCTGCCAGCTCGGTGACTTTCTGGCTAAATCAGGACACTTTCCAAATCGTCCTGGTGATTTTTTTTTTTGTCAAAAGTGACTAGCAACCAATCTAGCGACTCTTTCTGGTGTTACTGGAGACTCTGAGGTGAAAACTGGTATCGTTGTGCCGTTGCTGTCCTCAGCGAGCAGCGGTGCTGCCGTGAGCTCCTCCATCCCAAAGAGCTCACAGGCGGTCAGTAGTCTGGTCAGCAGTCCAGCTGCAGGCAGCAGGACAACCAGACGCTGGTTTACTTTGCTGCAGGTGCAGGATTTAAAATCAGCTTTTTATTTCATAAATACGAGGAGGACTCAGACAGACACTGAGTATAAAGTAACCTTCAACCTAGCGTCTGTTGTTTTGGAGTTCAAAATGTTTTGTTGCAGAAATTAAATGTGGTTTCCTCTGCAGCAGGTCGCTGGTTTCATAAATGCAGCAACACTATAGTTTTTATACACAGCATGAAGGTAGAAACGATGTATGCAGTGTTATCTTCATGTTAGATGTCAGAAGGGTTTTGTGGCTCCCACTGTTTTCTGTTCCGTGGGAGACGGGTCCAAATGGCTCTCTGAGTGGTGAAGGTTGCCGACCCCTGGTCTAGGTAGAACTACACAATATTAGCCGCACAGCTTCCATGTTTTGTCTGGCTGGTATAAATAACAGCTAACAACAGCTGCTCTGGGGAGAAAACTGGACTTTTTTCCAATATTTATGACCTCCAGTTGACCAGAGGTCATAAGAAGCCTCCAGATTTCAGACCTCGGCAGAAGATCCAGGATGTAGAGGAAGCTCTTGGTTCTTGGGTCAGCAGTGTCCCCCTGAAGCCCAATCCTACAGAGGAACAAACAAGAACATAGAGAGCACATTACTTTTTGTGCTACTGTTTTTTTGTGGACTGTACCAGACAAGCATACTGCCTTAGGTCTGCAGAACTGAAGTTAGAAGCTGATGGAGCTGTACAGGACCAGAATGTGTCATCTGAAGCTGCATTAACACACATTTTACATTTATCAAAGCTCTGCAGATCCATTCGAATGTGCCAGCTGTCCATCTGGAGAGTCTGATTTTTTTAACCATAGGTCTGCATACTGTCAGTCAGAGAAAAACAAACTGCTTACTCTCAATCAGAAAATAAACCAAATACAAGGTATGCATTCAGACGAGTGTACCCTACAGTGTTCATAACAACGCTGACGGCCATCAGAGCCAGCAGTGGCCTTCAGGTTGGAAAGCACCAGAGCTGCGCTGTACTCTGAACGCTTTGGTCAACACCAGGACAGCTTGTTTGAAAAAACATGATTGAAACTGTCACTTGACAAAAGTGAAGAAAGCAACTCCACATGGTGCCTAGTGGACTGACCCACACAGTGCAGGGACAGACACTGCAGGTTCTGGCCATGCAGGAGGGCTGACCAGAACTCAGACTCACACTGAACTAACGGGCACAAACGCTGCCAGCATGCTCCTGCTGATGCACAACAACTGGTCCTCCACTAAACGCTCCTACTCGAGACCTGTCTGCTCTGGCAGCACAGCAGGCAAAGATAACAGACTTCTAGTAGCATGTGTTTGGCCCACAGGGTGTACCGGATGGACATGGTTTCACAGCACTTCACTCCAAGCACCAACAACACAGAACATCCACTTACAGACAGCTGACAAACAAAAGAAAACACCTGAAAATGGCACAACCAATGCACACACAGGTGCCCTGCATCGTACAGTTATCTAATGTACGTCCAACCATCCTCTGTGGAACGTAGAGAAATGCCAACAAGGGCCTGCTGATTCTGATTTTGTGAGTGAGGAAAAGACCCAGGTGACTTTCCAACAAAGGTCACCACCGAGGCCCAGGTGGGGCCCCAGGTAACTCAGCTGGCCAGTTGGGTGGTACAAAAACCAGGGACACTGGTCTACAGAGATGTAGAAAAAAGTGAGATGTCAGAGGAGTCATTCTTTATGCAACGTGGCACAGGGAACTCTGCAGGCCTTCCACAGCTCTGGTGGAGAGGTCCAGGGGCTCTGCTGGGCCGTCAGGGACACTCAGCTTCATGGGTTGGCTCACCAGTTCACTGAGAGGAACAGGTCACTGCAGGACAATACAAAGCTGTTCTGAGTGAAGAAACACATGTGTCCTGATGGGAGTGAGCTTTTCCAGGTATCACTAAGACAGGAGAGCTCGCTGGATGGTTGATGAATCACATTCTCCATCATCAGATCTCAACCCTAATGGGAGAATCTGGACTGATGTGCTGGATGTCAGTCTGCACCACCACCAGAACACAAGAGAAGGAATCCAGCTCTGTGTGTGTGTGTGTGTGTGTGTGTGTGTGTGTGTGTGTGTTGCACCACAGTGCATATAAAACTCAATCTACCTGGTGAAAGGCTGGCAAGGAGGGCTCATCAAAATCATGTCAAAAGATAATTTATTGAAGTCATCTAATGATATACCCTGAAAAACAAACAAAAATCAGCATTTTAATTAAGCCGGTAAGCTAACGATCAGGGGACTCTGAGCTTCTCTTAACATCTCCATTTGCACCTGGTACATTAGCACGCAGTGTGTATAGGATAACTCTTCTGGATATTACTGCACAGTGCAGATGCACAGATACAGCATTGGAATGAGATCCATCTGGTTATGAGCTTTCCATCAGCGTTGAAGCCTACCCATGAGCAGTCCTCAGGCTTATCTTATTGATTCTTATGACATGATTCTTGAAGCCTAATTCCTCCCGCAGCATTGAGAAAACCCACACAAAGTGCATATCACAACATGCAGCTGGATTGGGAATAGTGTGCTATGACATTTGTTGTACAGTTTTGATGAAACTTGTAAAAAACTGCATTAAAAATCCTCATTGAAATCAATGGGAAGTCGCTGCCAAAACCAGCCATGTTGGGAACCCTGTAGCCCTGTCACACTTTACAGTAAAAACTTTATTTAAACGGCTCACAAGGCTTTGAATGCTAGCTGTCTAAATCCATGTTTGATATCTTTTATGTTTTTTGGAGTGGCTGCTTAAAGTATTAAGAACTTGAGTGTTTGGTCCAGATTTTACAATCTTATCTGTTTTATTAGTTTAGCTAACCTGGACCAATAGTCAGAATTTATCCTCTACATCACACATTGTACTTCACTTCCACCCAGAGTGAATCTCATTGTGATAGGACTTACAGGTTTCTCATAATCCAGTGTGCCGACTAAACGCCCATTCACTGCCACTATATCTGAGCCCCACAGTTCCGGGTGGAATTCAGAAACAGTGAGTGTTTTCAACCTGCCGTCAGATCTGTATCACACACAGCACAAACATGAAAACACAACAGCATGTTCACAACCAGATTGTGACTCACGCAGTGAAAGAGTCTTTTTCAATACGACTTAGAGTGTTTGAGCTGTGACCATTTGTTCCTTCGCCTGCAGATCAGACAGCATCCCTGCAAGCAATGTGTGACCTCTTCTTGAAAAAACAAAGAAAAGAAACCCTCTGTCCAACAGGCTACAAGGCCATCTAACAATAATGCTTCAGGGTGAGGGTTAGATGTGCACAGAACAGTCTGTGGTCCCAGATCTGTTCCCACGGTCAGAACCAAACAGGAAAGAAAGCTTTTAGGTTGGCTGCTCCCTCTACCTGGAACACAAAAAGACCTGAAACTTCAAGAGCTGCTCTCTTTACACACCTTAAAGTGTTTTTAAATGACTTGGAGGCAGAACCATCAGTCTGTAGATGTTCTGACAGGCGATTACTTTGCTAGTTACATTTCTGATCTCTGCTGATGTGTTCGTTTCTTATCCTCTAAATGTAATCTCACCGTGTGTTATGGGTATGGTGTCTGTGTGGATGCTGCTGTGACCTCGTCTGTCTGTGACTGTGCTGCTGCCTGTCTGAACCAGGACACTCTTAAAAAAGAGATTTATAATCTTGATGAGCCGTTTCCTGGTTAAATAAAGGTTAAACAAAAAATAAATAAAAAGTCTGCAAAGATGGCAGTGCCCATTTCAGTGATATTTTGGCTTCACTTTTGGAGCGCTGTCATGGCGACAATGGTTTAACATTCAGACCCATGGAACTACAGCAGCATCCATGGTGTTGGCTGGTCACCACACTCAGGCAACGAGCTTGCCAGAAAGTAGGCAGTTACAGCGCAAAGACTGGTGGAGCGGATCTGGTTATCCAGACACAGAACACATGCTATTACCAGGTACAAATGGGGTATGAAAGGCTGCCACTGGTCCCAAAGCAACAAACTGACTGACTGCATGTTAGTCGGAATCAGTTTTATTCTCATGCATGAATCCTACAGTGTCACCAACCTCGATGGTCTTGTTCCAGAGGGGAGTGTCAGGGAAGTTGTGCTTGTAGATCAGATTGGCTGTGGTGTTGATGTCGATGGCAGCCACTACCTGGGAGGGTATGCCACTCTCTGGAAGAAAAAGAAAGCACGCCTACTTTTCTAGCTCAACATAAAAGTCTTCAGTTTATCAGTGCCCAGAGTTTTGTTTCACAGCCTCTTTAGAGTGGTAAATGAATGCTGACAAGAGTCCAATAGCTCTCATCTCACCTCACTCATGGTCCTACAGCCGTGACCTTCTAGTGCTTTCTATAAATCAGCTATCATGGGACAGTGTCAGACCGAAAGGCACTTCTTCAATATCATGTTTAGGTGTGTGGAGTTTGCAATGTGCAGCTGGGACAAGGGAAGCCTGGCTACGTCACACTGCTTCATGGTAGTCTTCTGCTCCCCACAGGGTCCACACATCCCAGCTGTGTCTTAACATGGCAGCATGTGAAGATCATGGACGGATGTCATACATTTATGTTCTTTCATTTAACACGTGCCATGAAGTGTGTCATGGCACACAGCAGCACTACACAAAGAGTGACTGTGATTGCGCAGTATGTATACTATAAATACATCTGCCAGCCCTGCTCCCAACAAGCTTTGTATCCTCCAGCTGTGTGTCCATGACACTCCTGTACATCCTCCCTCATGGCTCCGACAGCCTACCTTCCTCCATCCTCTCTCTTCCAGGTGTGCTGATGTCAGGTCATGTCAGGTCAGTCACAGCACAAGCAATGGCACTCACAGCTGTGTTGGGGGATTTTTCACATTTTAGCACCAATATTCAGACAAAAACATCATTTGTGTACCAAAATAACAATGCTAGCTCCGTTAGCGGACACCGGGTGAGGGTTCGGACTCCAGTTAGCGGACACCGGGTGAGGGTTCGGACTCCAGCTAGCTCCGTTAGCGGACACCGGGTGAGGGTTCGGACTCCAGCTAGCTCCGTTAGCGGACACCGGGTGAGGGTTCGGACTCCAGCTAGCTCCGTTAACGGACACCGGGTGAGGGTTCGGACTCCAGCTAGCTCCGTTGGCGGACACCGGGTGAGGGTTCGGACTCCAGCTAGCTCCGTTAACGGACACCGGGTGAGGGTTCGGACTCCAG